ATGTTTAATATAAATACTCTTTCTTTCAAATAAAAATGTTCCTATGCAACAGACCTTCATTTGCTTTTCGATGGCTTCAGCTTCAGCAATCTTTCCTATACTACGATAATATTCCGCCCATTGCGCGCTATAATCTGCTGTACCTCCGCCTTGTTGTGCTTGTTGTTGCTGTGACTGCTGTTGAGGCTGCTGTTGTGCTTGCTGTTGTTGTGGCATACCAACAGCACCCATTGGTTGACCAGCATTCGCACCTTGAAGGAACAGATATAATTTGAAACGTGTTTAGCTGTTAATTTTCTAGCATATTTGTACTTACCAGCTTGTTTAGCTTTTAACTGTTGTTCTATCATTTCAGCTTCGCGCATCAAGCCCATTGATCTATAAATATTCAGATATATATCCAGTTTATTTAACAAACATATATAAATATTTTATTTTGATTATAACTTACTTGTAATATTCGATCCATTGTGCGGAATAATCAGCTTGGCCACCAGCAGCTGCTCCCGTATTTTGTCCCATTGCGGCACCGCCCATCATCATTTGTTGTTGTTGATTTTGATCTCCCCAACCTTGTGCATAACCGCCCCACTGCTGTTGATAAGCGGCAGCAGCGGCATTGGGATCATTTTGCATGGGGTTCTGTCCATAACCACCTTGGTTGTTATGTTGTCCAGGAATGTTACCACTAATGGGCTTCCGCGAAATAATTGGCAACTCCATATTAATCTTTTCGGCAATCATTTGACGTGCAGCTTCGACTTGTTCCGAGGTGCCTTTACATTTGAAGAGCTTCTCAGATGGTGGATTGACAGCATTTCTATCCATTTCACAATATGCCCCAGATTGCTGATTTATAAGCTTGATGGTTTCACCACCGCGACCAATGACAATCTACAAACAAAAATATTTTGGCATAATATTATTAAAGTCCACCAAAAAAWATATATATATATTACTTACACCACATTTTGACGAAGGTACCATAAATGTTATTTCCTCACGTGGCGGCTGTTGTGCGTGATTTACGCCATAACCGTAACCGTAATTGGAATTGTTTCCATCCATACTGCCATTGTTAGTGCTATTAGCGTTGCGTTGTTGTCGTTGCTGAAAATATACAAATACAATACATTTACTAGTTTTGCAACAAATTATAAAGTAAATTGTAACGTAGTTTTTTATAAAACTAAAATATTTACATATAAATTATTACTAAAATTAAAATTATATTTATATACAATTTTATAAAGTTATATTGTAAATATTAATTTGCTCACCATCATATTCTCAATAAGTCCGTCAATCATACGTTTGGCGTCATCAACTTGTTGTCGTGTGCCTTGTATAAGGCATCGTCTGTCGCCGGGTTCATCATTCTTGCCTTGAATGAATTGCAGCTTACAACCGCATTCGGTCTGTATTTTGCGTATCATGTCACCACCTTTGCCAATAACCACACCGACAGCTATTTTCGGCACAAATACTTCGCACTGTTCGCCAGTGTTGCCAAAATTATAGCCACCACTTCCGCCAATCCCAGCGCCTTGCACACTCCCGCCATTATTACGAGCTGCAAGCGCAGCTGCCTGTAAATCTTTCTGTGCAATCAAGTCTAATACAGCTTGCTTGGCATGTTCGATTTTTTGCGGATCTCCAGAGATACGAAGTGGTTTCTAAAAATATTTAAGATTGAGTAAATTTCCAATAAAATTTTATAATTCGAATATATTTACAATTATTTCTTGATTTGGTCCATCTTGTATTATAACCATTTTCGCGCCAGTTTTCTCTTGCAATTGTTTTATGGTATCACCACCTTTGCCAATTACCAAGCCCACTTTTGTGCCAGGTATCATAATTTCTTGGTACGGTGGGAATCCTGTAGGCCCTGGTGGGGGCATATTTATGGTCAACACAACTTCGATATTTCCACCGCCATTACGATTAGACAATTGTTGGAATAATTCGCGTCCTTTAGTAACAGTCTCACGGGATCCACGTAACGTAATGACTCGATCTATTTTCAGTATAAAAAAAATCCATATACATATATATGTATATCTCCCGGTTTAAAATGCAAGTTCATATACCTTGATCCTGTGACAGCTGTACTTTACAACCAGATTCACCCTGAATTTGGGTAATTGTCTCAGTGCTGCCACGTCCCAATACTGAATTTACCAGCGATTCTGGAATGCGTATTTGCTCCTCCACCGTTGTGCCAGCTGTAGCCGCCAAACGCTGTGCAACAGCAGTGGCTTGTGCGAGTGCTTGAGAAATATTCGTCGAACCAGCATTACTACCGCCGCCTCCCACGCTGCTACCGTTGGAATTATTGTAATCGTTGCCAGGACTAGTGAAACGTTTGGCTTCCGGACCGGAATCACTATCATCGTGGTTACGCTTAAAACCAACGCCGGATGGAGGTGAGATACCAGCGCTAGAAGAACCTCCACCACTTGGTTGTGCGGCATTTGGCTGAATCTTTGCGGCTATCTAAATATACATGTGTGTGTGTGTGTGGCAATTTACGGAATAGAATTTGATATTTTTAATATAGTATTGTATAAAATTTACCTGCTTAGCACGTTGTAGTGCTGCTGCAAAAGCTTGCGACTGATTTAGATTAGATTGTGATGCAGCAAATTCACTCATTTTTCTTCTTGGAAAATTTTTTCACAGTTTTGGAAAAAAAATTGCAGACTATTGAAACGTAGCTGTATGCGATACACGAATTTATAGAAGTGAAATAACACTTTTACACACTTAAAGGAATATATGAAACCTTTTTCTATTAAAATTGTTAAATATATATTGATTTTTTTTGATACTTTTCGATAAATTAGCGAAACTTTTCCTAACACCACATGAAGTCTTCCACTGAAAATTATAAATGGCGGAGGACCATCAAAGCAGTCGAAATAGCTGAAACGAACTGGTAAATGGAACACAATGCTGCCACCTGTTAAAAAAGAGTTCCACATTACTTTAACAAATTTTAGCAGGATTTATGTAAAAATTATTTTTACCCAAAATAGAAAWTTTCAAAACTTATACTAACATTGAAGAAAATTCAAATGATGAAAACATCATAAATACTAAACAGCATTTTTAAAGATATAATATTCCCTCAAAGTACCACAAAATTGCTTTGTTTAGTTCACTAAAAAAACTCTACACCTGATCAGCGCTGCCAAATTCGCGGATTTATCTGGATTTTTCGAGCAGCATTAAACRGTATTTTTTTTTTTAAATTATAATGGTCAGGACATTGATTAATAAAATAATCCCTCAAATTTCTACTAAATTGCTTTGTTTAGTTCACCACAAAAAACTCTGCACCTGATCAGCGCTGCCAGATTCTCGGATTTTTCCTCATTTTTCGAGCCTGCAAAAGGTCTTATGCATTTATACTCAAATATTTCCCGAAAATTTCAAGTTATGAGATRTATTTTCTTTATTTATATAAAATGAATTCGCATATCGGTTTCTCGGTCGATCAAGAAAACTGAACGCTGTTGGACTCTGACTTCTCGTACTTCCGCTTGCTCCATTTTCTCACAATTTCTTGCAAGAAGSTGTAAGTATACTTATGTGTTATGTTAAGTATTGTATGTACTTAACTAGTTACAAAAAAAGCTCACAACTGAAAAATTTTCAAAATCGATTGCTTACAATTTGTCAATTCAAAGTACACTTATCTAGCCAAGAAATTTGCTCATTAAGAGTGTTAATATTTTTACGATGTGAACTATGCAAAGTTCCACAATTATGTACATGAGCAAAGCCTTAGCAGACCTCATTATATGTAAATTAACATTAAAAAATGTAATAAAGCTGAATTTAATTAAATTATATTCTAAAACTTTTTTTGGTAATTCAAATGTTAAAATAATATATTGTATGTATACGCCTATTTTCAATTTAACTCCTTTTCGAATATAAAAAGTTTTAAACATGTAAATATGAATTTTACTATATTTTATGCAATTTTATATTCTGTATTGTACATAAATAGATTTGATGTCGGATTTTTTGGATTTACTTCCGCTGTGTCCAACATTTTCACCTCTATGTGCGGATTTATAGTGCAGAAGAAGTGGCAACACGGCCCCTGATTACAAACACTGTGGATTAACTATTGTGCTTTTACTAACCAATATTTTATCATATTTTGTTGAAATTTATATTTTAATAAAACATTACTTCTTAAAAAATGTCAACGGACCTAATTGGATTTTTATATGCCGCCACTGTTGCCGCTGGTGGTATTATGGGCTATGTTAAAGCCGGTAAGCGCAAATGAACGTGTGCTGAAATTGTGCAACTCATTCACTTAAGTTTCTTATATGAGTATAAATAATATTCATGTACATTTATCTGGATTTTAGGTTCCATACCGTCATTGGGTGCTGGAGTGGCATTCGGTGCCATTCTCGGTGTGGGTGCATACTATAATTCACAGGATCCGCCACGTCCACTCTTGCAGTTGGGCACTTCTGTGGCTTTGGCCGGTATCATGGGCTCTCGTTGGCAACGATCTGGTAAAATGATGCCTGCTGGCATGATTTGCATTATATCTGTTGCAGCMATACTTCGAAATTTAATCACTTATAATCGTTACTTGCCATTACCGGGGAGACAACAGTAAATCTATATGTTTATGCATATAAATCAGTTTGATCGTTTGTAGTTAATTGCTGGCAGGAAAACTTGCCTTTTTTACACTCACGCCGAGTAGAATATTTTGTTTATAATTAATTATAGACGTTAACATATGAACTTACTTAGAGTTGTCACATTTTATTAAGCTTGGTAACTGGGCTTGTGGTTTGTACTTTAAAAGTTGAAATTTGTTACTATAATTTTACAATGGAAATAAATATTTYAGCATTCTTGCTATATTTTGTATAATATTTTTTGTTTTCACAGTATTTTGTAATCACACTTTCATTTAAATAAAATTACTACTTTTTACGCTTAAGATTGTGTGTTAACTTGTTTAATCAGAAAACATAACAGAGACTCAGCTTATTTTTCAATCAATATTTGGACTGTTTAAACTTTTTTGTTAAATTATTGAAATGACAATTCTCACTTTTGTTGTGAAACGCAAATACAAGTAGGAATGACAGTTGATGTAATGGGCTTTCTGTTGGCGGGTACATACACCGCATTGGGCGTTGTAAAAGCTATGGACAATGGTAATTCATATATCACATTCCTTTTTATTATAAAAAAAAGTTTTTGTTCGTTTCAGACTCTTTTATTCAATTAGGAGCAAGTCTCATTGTTGGTGGTGTTCTAGGTTATGGTGCATATTTGAATTCAAAAGATCCGCCTCGTCCTTTGTTTCAGTTGTCTACTGAACTTTTGTTGGCCGGCATAATGGGAACACGTTATACTTTGACGAGCGATGTTAACGATGGCGCATTATTTTTAGCCACAGCTGCTTCAGCGTTTTACAATTCTTATACTTATACCGAAGATTTAAGTAATCAAATTGATATTGACGACTTCTTGGGAAGAGTGGATAGTAGGAAAATTACTATTAAAATACCAGATATTAAAAAGGCGATGGAATAACTGAATATGAAATTTGTGAATATGTATGTATATGCATATGTATGTACATATATAAAGTTTAAATATTCATAATGTTTAAAATTGTTACCTCCCCGCATTCTCTAAAATGATTTGGTGAATATTTCTGCCATAGTAAAAACAACTAATCGTGAGTTAGGAGCGTTTTAACAACCATGGTCTTAAACTCTCTTCTCTTAGTAACAAAACGGCTAATTAACAAAGTGTTTGMGGATTTTTGCGCTGTGATAATAGATTACCGGAGTTGCTAAACATCCATTTATCTCTTCAATACTTACGAGTTCGTATACTCTTACGAGTAACAATAATGAAAAAGTTATTTTATACAAATAATACACATATGTATCAATAAGCAAATTTTATTTTCAACAATTTTTAAATTTTTACAAACTCTAAATTAATGATTTTCACATTCTTTCGCATTTACCTATAAGTTTATTTTTTTAATGTATTTAGCTATATATATGTATGAAACATACATACATATATATGCTTTATCGCCTTCTTAACTAAAATGTCAAATAACATTTYCATACATAGTAAATTAGACTTATGGTATAATATTCACATAGTGTATTTCTTTATCATGTGTCTACAAAACAATAAACATTTATATTTAAACAATAAGTCAATGAATTGTGTGTATGTATGTATGTTATAGGCTGTAGCTACTAATGAAATTCAGTTATTATTATTTTTTTCTTGAATGTGAACATGCTATGCGTGTATTTCTTTCGTCTGTTTGAAACTAACATTATAAAATGAATTTTACAAAATATGAGTTATAAGAATTCGCGCAAAACCATTTATTCACATATACATATATAATAATTTCTTTTGTTTTCAATATATATGTATCTACATTTATTCATTCTAATGCACAAATGCATTTTACAGCTTTTAACAAAAAAGAACATAAAATTTATTTAAAAAATACAATTAAATTAAATATAATTATTCTTTAATTTACATATGTATATATAATAATTAAAACCTAAAACAAATCAATAAATTCTAACTACATGCTTCTTTTTAAAGTACGTATGTAATATTAAAATATGGATGTTGTCAAGTGTGGTTATGTGTGATCGATGCTTTTTGCATTTTTACGATGCATACGTGTATGTTATGTTGTACATAACTACATACGGATACTTAAGTGCAAATTTCCGGTAGCATAGGGGTTTGTGCTGGTCTAAATGAAAACGTTTATGTATTTATGTAATTGGGTATGTATTTATGTATGCGTGGCGCTATATGATTTCATGCATTTTATTTCATTAATATTCAGCTTTAACTGCTTTAACTAAATTCATGCATTAATTTTAACTATTTGTTTTGAAATGTAAATGTGTAGGTTAATATTTGTTTGAAAAAATTGAAAATGGCAATGATATGTCCTTTGCAAGCTGCCTAATTTAAATATACTAGTACGTAAATCTTTTACTAAATATGTGTTTATATCGACATAATATACGGCTGTTAATTGTTGTGGTTGTGTTGAGATGCGCGTTCATGTTACCGCTGCTGTCACTGTCAATTGCTGCCACACTTGCTTTTGCATTATATACTTCCGATCATATTTATGGTAGATCAAATAAAAAAAACACGTTAGTTAGACGAAAAACGTATGGCGGCGCCTTCACTCAGTCAGCAACGGAATTATTCTCTTCAAAAAGGAAACGCCTTCCAGTTAACCACTACACAGGGCACATAGAAAAGGAAACGGTGACAATTAGTAAACGAACATAAAATATGGTGGTATGAATGAAAAGAAATCGAAAGTAGTCAGTAAATGTGAAATGTGTAATGTATTTTAAAATAATTACGCAAATAATAAATATATGTATGTACGAAGAAAATAAAAAAATAAGTAACAAAATAAAAAAATAAAATAAATAAAAAATAAAAAAACCGTAACACTAAATATGAATTAATCGGTATGCATATAAAGAAATGCAAGTATGGTGTTACTAATGAAGCCAAAATTGTTTATTTTTGGTGTAATTTGTTAAGTTCTTTTATCTAATATATATGTTTTTTTTTATTAAATTTTTAGAATTTGTAATGAGTGATGTGTATTTGCCGCCACTGTCATGCAAAATTTCGTAGTTCAAGATGATGCTGGTTTTAGTTTTTAATTTAATTTACATTTCAAATGTTTGTATGTGTATTTTTTTTTTAGTTGACGAGTTTAAATTTTGAGTATTTTTATATATTTTATAATATTATATGCCAAAGTTTAAATTTGTTTCGATGCATTTCAAATATCCATAATAGTATAGGGTTGATGGTGTTTATTTTATACTTCTCCTTAACGTTGTATTTTATAACCATATTCCACGTTCCAGCTGTATTACGCAATGCGTTTATATGTATGTAGGTAGTTATCCTATACATCCAGTTAAACTAAATTAAATTTATATGTACTACATGCTAAGTATTCCAATAACCTGCTGCTGTTGCTGTAACTTTGCATAAGTTTTGGTCTAAACATTCATATCCAAATTTTTAATTGAATTTATGCATTTTAATATGCGTAATAAATGCCTTTGTATGTATGTGGTTTCTCATAAGTTTATGCGTTTGTGAAATTGTATAGGTTTTTATACTCTTTATATGTTCTACTGATGTTCTGTAATGCTTAGACACCATTTAATCCTTTTTATTTGTCTTGTTTTAGTAATGCAATATATAACTGATTAGCTAATGCTACATGTGTACTGTATTAAGTGTTGCAGTGTTGCATATGATTGTGTTCTTGGTGTTGGTGAAAATAGTGGACAGTGTTTTTGTTGTTTTTATGAGTTCCATTATTTGTGTGGTGAATGCGAATGTGAGTACTAAAATTTTTGTTATAATTTTTCATTTGTGTGTCCCTGTACTGAAGWACCGATTGATTAAATCAGCATAGAGGAAGAATAGTGTAGAGAATATAAGTTGAAATAGAGTGCGCCAATTCGTTTGAAAAARGAAAGTACGCGTAACTGTAATTCTTTGTAAAATTTTTGTGATAAAATGCTTTAAATTTCTTTAAATATTGTGAAAACTGTGTACTAACAAATGCCGCTGAACAAGTAGAAATTGTCTGTTACAACTAAACAGTTGTTGTTGCATTATTTGGGAAAGCCAATATGTGTTTAAACTGAATTTTCTGCATTGCAATATGGTATGGAGATTCTTCAGCGATTAGAGAATGTGCCACGAACATTTTATTTGGAAATGTTGACATAGCAAAACGCTCTCATTCTGAAGTGAACTTTTGCGGAAATCGAGTTTAAATTCGATTGCAGTTAATATTTTTCTTTTTTTTTTTTAAATTAACGAGAAAATGTGCATGAAAAGGAAGAGAAAGAGTATGAAAAGTAACCAATAAGTTAAGAATATGAAGGATTAATACTAACAACTCAATGAAACTATGTGTGGTGAATGCATGCAAACATTTCACAAGTGATATGATCACATTTTGCATTGTTTGTGTGTGTAAATGAGTGCCTTATGCAGTATGTATATGTTAACTTTGACTGTGTTCTAGCGCATTACTTGTAAAGCACATACATAAGACCAACATATGTATGCAAATTTTACAATATTATGTTTTTTGTTAACGATCACAACATTAAAGGATTCCAGTTCAATTTATTACGCAGTTAACTGTAAAAATATGTTAAAACGTGGCATACGGATACTGCTCTACCATATACCAAGCAAATGGTGGCTTATGCGCTCCGACTTTAGTATATTAGCACCAATTGTTCAATGATGAAGCAAATTATTTTTTTTTGCGCACGCAGAAGCAGTACTTAATATCCACCTACAAAGCGAGGAAAACTAATTATGCACAGGCAAATACGCTATATTTAAAATTAATGTGCAGATGGGGTTATGTTGCTACTTCWTTTTCGCTTATCCAAGAAATGGGCGTCAAAATGTTGCACCGCGGCGAATTTGCGCTACACCTTAAGGACGCTTAAGTATTAATTTCATGCAGCAATTACATATTTTTAAGTACCTAATTCCATGTGCAATGCKTTTAAAATAAAATTCATTACCAGACCGTATCTAATAACGGTTAGTGGTGCTTTTTCWCATTTTTATATAAAGCATACTCCAAGCATTCCGTTAACTGTATATTATATACTGTTGCAGTTTATTAATGATTACTAAACTCTCCCAGGGTAATGCATGCCATATCCAAAATTATATTGAAATCTTGTATTAAGTTTGGTTTGCTTACCGCATTTTTGTAGATTGGCAACGAAAGTCGATAGTAACCGTGTAGTTATTTGTAATGCTTCTGAGGGAGTGAAGCGTGTGCGCTGTGTTTGCGTTTTATGTGAGCGTAGTTGATTATGTAAAAATCKCTTGAGCGGCTATAGCGCTAAGCAAGCAGAATAACTGGTACTTTTGGCGTGGCATTTTGCGTTCTATTATTATTTTTTTCTGCTAACTGACAAACAATTTGAAAAAAAAAAAACAGCTGCTTGTCAGAATTACAAGTTGGTAACTCTGCGTTTTTTTTTTAACGCTGTGTGTAGTGGCGTACAGTAGGGTGTGTGCGTGATTGTTGAATGCAATGGTATTGCGCGCACGAATTGAGAAAGTAGTGTAATCCTCTTGGCGCTTTAAATGCTAAATATATAAATAGAACTACAAACTAAATATGGTGCTATAACAGAACAAATGTAAACGCTGGCGTCACTTACGCACAAACTTTACGTATTGTTTTCATTTAATTTGGGTACGTAACAATTGACGACGTATTAGTTTTTGTGTTCTGATTTTATGTGCTTTTTGTTGTGATGTTTGTTGTTCTGGTGCGGATGTTGTTATTGTTTTTGTTGAGGATGACTGTTGTGCTTGCTGTTGCTGTTCCAGCAAACTTGGCAAATTATTTGTATTATCACCTAAATAATTTGTAACATATGCTGGTTGTTGTGTTGTTGTCGCGATGTGTTTTGCCACATCGCTCACAACATGTTCGTGCATTTGCTCGTGTGCATCATCATATGACGTACGACTATTTGCAGCGGCATTGTGACTCGAAATGCGTGTTATTTTTTTGTGATTTCTATTTGAATTGTTGTTGTTGTTGCTGTTGTTGTTACCATGATTAATGTAAATGTTGCTATCGCTACTATTACCAACACTACCATCAACACCACTATTACCTCCCACACTACTACTTTTACTATTCGATAAATTTTGCGTACGTTTGAGGAAGTGACTGCCGAATGTTTCCGCCGGCGCACGCTTCACCGGTTCGTTCTCATGCGTACCGACAGCTGGCACTGCTTTGCCGACGGCCCCACTGCCCACCACACTCGATGTCGACATTGTGGTGCTCGTGGTGGTGGCCGTCAGTGTGGCCGTTGTATCTGTTGGCGCATTAAGCGCTTGCAATTTCTTCAAATAGGCGTCAAGAAATGTCGCCGGCCGTTGTAGCGCTTTATTGTTATTGTTATTGTTATTATTGTCGTTACTGTTAGTATTRCTGCCGCCATTGCTACTGCTGCGCGTCGGTGCTGACGGTGGCGGCGCTGGTTGTGTGTTTTGTTGTTGTTGTGCACTCACGCTTATTGCTGTTGCTGTATTAAACTTACGTTTCTGTTGCTTGTCATCGATTGCCTCATTGCTCGCGTCATCATCCGCGTCCACATTGCTGTCATTCACATTGTCCTCGTTGTCATCGATATCGTCCGCATTGTTGCGATTGCTGTTGTCCAGCAACGCCGACTGTTGCTGTAATTTGGCGGCCGCACTCACCGTATTGCTATAATTTGAATTAGTTGTGTTGGTTGTTACGGTTTGCTTTACTGTTGCTGTACGTTTCCTATTACTCAAAATACTACTACTACTATCGCCAGCGCTGACGTTGTCGCCAGTGTGCGCTCGCAGGAAACCTAAATAATATTGTAACTGTTTGCGTAATTCATGCGTGTAAATTTGGAAGAGGTTAGGTTGTGCGGTTGGTGGTGTTGTTGTTGTGGTTGTGGTGGTTGGTTTGCGCTGTTGAATTTGTGTTAATTTTGCCAATYTGGTTGTGTGTTGGTGTGGTTGGATTTCGGGTTCTGATTTGCTTTGTGTTAGCATMGTTTTTGCTTTGGCATTATTTTCGTWCACTACGCTCACTATASGCTGTTTTTCGCTTTTGTTAAGGTCAATATTCTCAGCAACTTGCAACGCGCCAGTATCCCCAACAACTGTTTGCTTGTCAAGCKTCGCTTGATTCTTCTCTAAATTCAAAAGCTCAACATTAACCCTTGCAATATTGTGCTCATATTTTTCCTGCTGTTTCACGCTATTGTCACTGCTACCATTACTACTACTATTACTACCTGAACTACTACTATTTGCGCTACTAACACCACTACTACTRCTCGTACTGCTGCTCACGCTCGTTTGTACAACGACTGCGCCCTGCGGCATATGAGTGAATGCCACTTTGTCTGCCACTTCCGCCTTTGSGGCTGTATCTATGGTTGCCACATCGGCGGCATTTGTGGCGGCGCCGGTCAGCGCGTTCACCTGCGCCGCTTGTCCCAATAGCTGTTGCCATTGTGGATTCTGTGCTAAAAACCTGGCTAAAAATTCTAAAGTACCCTGTTGCACTTGCCGTTGCTGATTGTTGTTGTGTTGGTGTCGTGAGTGTGTCTCCAAGGTGATTGTGGTGCGTGAGTCCGTTTGCGTCGGTGTATGTGTATTGCTGGTGGTTATCGTTTTAGTTGTAATACGTTTGGGATCGGAAGTGTCGTCGACTTCACGTGAGGTCTTCTCCACCGTATTACCGAAACGTTGCTGAGTTGTTGGTGTACTCTTAGCTAAGACTTTCGGTAGATCCTGCTCTTCTTCGCTACTTATATTCTCCCCCTCATCTTCTTCTTCGCTACTACTATCAGTATTTTCGGTGCCACTGTTGTTGTCGCTGTATTGTTGTAGTTTTGTGTTTAATTTTTTTTTCATTTCAGTTTTGTGTTAGCGGTGTTGTTATGTTATCGATTGTTTTTTGGGTTGCAATTTTTTGTGTTGTTGTTAAGCAGTTGTTTGTTGTGGTTTTGGGTATGTAAAAATTTGGTTGGATTATTTTGTAGTAAATTTCAAACTATTTACATTGAACATGTACATATATACAAAAATTTACAAATTCGAAAATAAAATCAACTGTGTTTTAGTGTAAGTGTTTATATGTGTAGGTAAAAAGTGTAAATATAKTGTTCACAAAAGTATATATGTACATTTTGTATAAAATATATTATAAATTTTGCTAACTAAAAACTTTCATCTATAGGCAATAAATTTGTTTTTGTACAACAAAATATTATGCATTAAAAATTTGCACCAAAAATTGTTAAACAAAAGACCAGTTAACTGTAAATTATTGTTTAAAAAATTGCTTCTTATTTAAAGCCAACGAGTAACGTTATTGTAAACAGTTATAACTGTAAAAGTCACCATAGTAGTAACAATGACCGATACCGTTATATAGTAAAATAAAATTGTTTAACCAAATGAATAATAATAAACTACAAAACTATAAAAATTTACTACTAAAAACTTGATATTTAGAGATACATATTTTCATTAAATAAAAAATTWAATTTTGAAATATAAACACCTATATTAGATTTGGCGATTGAAAAAGCGTATACTTACTTATAAGAACGGTAAGCTGGTATGACATTTGAAGTAACTGGCGTACACCGACCGTCCAGGCATGTCTAGCGTGGAGAGTGCATTTTTTATAAATTAAATTTTTTCAGAAAAATTAGATTCTTGTTTTCAATGCAATTGCAAAATTATATTACTCTCAAGAAACTCTCCAAAATATAAAATATTTAATACTGCAATTACTTACCAGYCCGCTGCCACATGTGGAACCCTCCGCAGCCGGCCGATATGCCACACAGTAGCCCGTCTGCGCATCAAAACAGAATAGTTGCGCGCACACGCGCTCATCCTTGAAGCAAGCGTACGTGCCGCGATCGCGACGACACTGCGCGTCCAACGAGAGCAATGTGCCGGGCAATGCGCGTCCCAGCGCGCTGTCCTCATGCGGTGCATTGTGCAARCAGGTGGCGGTGTCGCCGCTATAAWGAATTAACAAAAACAATATTAAAAATAAAAAAATTTGCTTTTGTTTTGCGCTACTCACTTCAAAAAGTGATGGAAACTCTGTATGGTGCATGGTGACCACCGGAAACCGCGCTCGGTGTGTCGCAAATCGGACATTATGTAGCCGTCCTCCCAGCGGCAGCGCTGCGCCCCCGGACCRCCAAGGTAGCTGGGTGGTGGTGAGCCGTCGTGCACGGCGCCGAGCCTGTGTATATGTATGAAATAGTATGTCAGAAATGTGTGGGCAAAAATCGTACAGTTGGCAGTTATAATTTGTGTTTTTGTTTTCAACGTTTGTTTTTGCAAAATACCATATTCAAGTGTGTTAATTATTTCTTGCAATATTGGCTGACGAAGGAAATGCAAACGAGTTTGTCTGCATGTTAATGCGCATGTGTCAATGGTGACAGCGGAAATCGCTTTAATAGTTGGGCTAGGCAATTGCCTAGAAACGTTGTCAAGTGTTTTTTCGCGTTTTCAGCATGTTTGAGTTTTTGTTGCTGTTTTTAAGAAAAAATGTTTTAGTCTAGTAAAAAGTTGTACTTTACGAAACACTCTGTGCTGGGATGAGAGTAAACTTTAAGTTGGTGAGTTATCGATAATAGTTGTATGTATCGCCTCTTATTGGTTCAAACTAATCAGCGCTTTCTTTATGAGTGACTCTTATAAGAGTATGAAGAAAATGTTGTGAAAGTTTTTCTTTTCAAATATGTTAAGTGTCACGGATACCCTATAAAATATGTAGCTATAGACACGTGACGAGCGATCCATGTCCGTTTGTCTGTCCTTTGAGATATCACATTGAGGTTGCACACGTCCTTTTCTTACCAAGAAACTCTACATTTGTCAGAACCGCCGATATCGGCCGATCCAAATTAAGTTCTTGTATGGAAAACTGTTTCATTTTATAATTGACAACAAGTCAACGCTACAATCTACAACATTTGTATAGATATATAACATGTAGGTGTTACACAAAGTTCTTGTATGGAAATTTATTTTATATGATAAGATATCGTCAAGGAATTTTGTCCAGAATATTATTCAAGGCAGTGCTAGAATTTCGAAATAAATTGTTCACAGCGGATCACTATAGCTTATAGCTGTCCTACAAACAGCCCTTTTTTATATTATATTGTAAGAAATGCACCTCTGAATGGTATTAAAGCTTCGATGCAGCCGAAGTTAAAGTTTTTTTTAAATRCATATATGTATATTTAAAAATATAAACATATTAAATTTTGTTGTAAACTATATATGTTTCTTAATACTTACAAGTGTCCAACTTCATGGGCAGCCACAATGATACCGCTGAAACCGCCGGTATCCTCAATGATGGCAACACTGTTGACTTTTTCCAAACGCTTGTTCACAACGCAGGCACCGCCAACATATGCAAAACCTTTTCGTATGCGTTTRTATAACAAATACCATAAAATTTTTTGCAATGCAAACACCATACATTGATTGAAGACAAAAAAGTGTAAGAAAAAACTTAGCAATTAGTACAAGAATATATATGTTTGTGTGCGCATAGTTATCTAAGCAAGCAGTAGGAAGTTGATAATTTACGCAAAAATTAAACCGAAACCATGACTTAAAAAATAATAAAAAATAGATAAAAAATTACCAGTTTTTTTTTGTTAGAAATAACTTTGTGCTGAGAAATATGTGCAAACCAGTAAGTGAAAAAATTGCTAAAATTGCTGGCCAGCAGCTAGTAGCATTTATTGCAATATTTCGCTTAAAAAAGCTGGTAATCCATTCTAAATTTCTGTGCTAGTATGTGTGACAAGGTATTTGATGTATTTGAGGCGTGACGCAATTATGACATAAAATATGAGTATGAACACCGATCAGCAATCAATTAATACATTTTTTTTTTTTTCAAAAGCAAATGTGTTGTAAAATAAGCTGTGAATTTTTATGATAAGATCAGTGCAAAAAGTCGGATGAGTGTTTTTATTATTTTTATATGAAAAAATATTATATATGTACATATTCTTGCATAACATTACCTCACCATACCTTGCATACCTTTCTAAAGTAGCATTTTTTTGTAGTTTTTGGCAATAAAATGCTAACCCGCATTTTTAATTTTAATATAATTATTTTGAAAAATTTTTATTTATAAGTAACCAACACCAAAAACAACCTTTCGAGCTATGCTCGAATCTTACAAACTATCCCCGAATTTTACAAAGGAACTTCGAAATTCACGAACTATATTCAAAAGTCGTTATTTAAAAATGTCTTATTTAAAGTAAATACGCATATGTGGTTTTCTCTTAATTTCCTGTTCTTATTCTTTAATCTATTTGCATTMAAAAGTAAATAATGCAGTTTACCAATATCACTGGTAATAAATCTTATCACTGGAAATTGGTTCTCTTTGTATTTCTATAAATTAATTTTTGATCTTTATAATCTAGTTTTCGRCATTGCAGTGACAATTTGAAATTTTTTGCAATAAAGTCTCATTCCTATTTTCATTTTGTTTTACTAACAAATATCATGTTCGTCCTTTAAAACAGTTTCCTATATTCGCAAGTGTTTTCCTGCTGCTTTGAGCTTTTGTCTATGACAAAAGTAGTATTTATGCTATCACTTCTATTACTGATCGTTTGAAAATCTTTTTCTTATAAAAAGGCTTTAAAAAGATTAGCTGACAAGAAACTATACTATATAATTTTGCCAGTTCATTTCTAACTTGTTGTTGTAATCCAACTTTGCATAGCATAATGTGTGTGACAAACGAACTATTGTGTACTCAGCTTAAAGATGTTTATCGATTGCTTATATTGATAGACTTCCTTACGGGGCATCTCGACAGGCAAAAGTTTATGGTATACTAACCAGGAGATATACTACTCTTAGAGGAGAAAAAGGTGGATGGGTGCAGGAAGTCTGGAATGTGGGCTGATGTGGTATATGAACTACATTTATGCTACTACAAGGAAATTGCGTTATTCGACCCTGTTGTAGTTCAAATCTGAAAAGAATTGTTAAAGTCCTGTCCTTCCTCCCATAAAATATATTTAAGAAGATTTCCAAATCGTGAAAACCTCTGAATTCCAGAAATGGATTTAGCCAGTATCTTGGTCTTCTTTTTTTGTTTCTTTATGAATTTCATAAGGTCTTARAATTTTTAAGTGCTTCTGTAGCTTCTATGATCGACACCATTTCGCAAATGATTATGCAATGATAACAAATGTACACATACAGATTTAGAATAGGCAATGGCAATAGTTAGTATGCCATCAAATTTCGCCTGTYGAGATGCCTCGTAATAACGGCATAGTATAAATATTTGTTGGAAATTTTAAGCGTTAATTGTTTGTGAAAAAAATCTGAGGATCCAAATGACAAAAAAATATGTTATTATACTATCTATTACTTAAATTGAATGATTTGGCTTAATCGAAAATACAATACTTTTGGCTAGAGAAAAGTATATAGAGAGAATATTAAAAAAAAAAAAATAATAATAAAATAACTTTAGATAAAATAAGGTAAAACATTTAAAGCATAAATTACTACTTAAAAGATAGCAGAGTTCAAAAAGATATAAAATAAACTTTAAATGTAGGAAAGAAAATATCACAGTTCTGCCAGCAGTAGGTATCAGCTGCGCTCATCGTTGACATAAAGCGCTGCAAGCGTGTGAAATGCGCTTAATTACTTTCGACATATTTACACTTTTAGTAAAAGGAAATTTAATTTTGTTTTTATTTTACAAATAAAAGTTTTCAAAGAATATCACGTGCTCTGTTTTAAGGCGAGAGTAAAGAAAAGTTGAAGAGAAAACGTGCTTGAGATTCGATTCGACGAGAAATATTACACACAGTTTGAATGATTTGATGTGACGAATGTTTAAATGACACTTGTGTTTCTGTTTTAYTTTATAAGGTAAAGTTTTATGCTTTTTACTGCGCTTCAAACTCCTCTTTCTCTTTATGTACATTTCGTTTTTGCGTCAAATTGACATTTACCTGCTGTACCACGATTACATTCGCCATAAGCTGTTGTACGTCTGCACATATCAAGTCTGTGTTGCGAAACGAGTTGTTTTTAAAGTTAATGAGAAAATAAGTTATTAAATACGATATTATAATTACTAAATTTTTATTACGGCATAAGAAAGAGTTCATATTAAAGAGGAGATTTGATAGATTTAGCAAGTTCTGGTGTTTAAATTCAGTCAGTAAAGGGTGTGAAGTAGAATGTTCTTAGGATAATTGAAATACTCTACTCAATATATTTTATTAAGTTGGCGTAAGGTTCACACGATAAAAYTAACCCTCCTGCGATGTTATTATACTTTATTTTTATGTATTTTCAATCATTTGCTTGCAAATAGCATAATTTAAATTTACGATATATGATTACGATATAACTAATTTATTATTATATCGAAGTTTTTCATCATAAAATGCTAAAATTTAAAAGTACTCTGACTAAAACTCTTAAATACGATATTTAGAAGTTACGATATATACTTCTGCACCAAAATTTCTAAACTTTTGCTATTGCATTTCGCTTTAAAAAGTTTAAAATAACTGCTAAATTTAAAACATACTTAACTTTAACGAATGGGACTAAATTACGAARTATTTTAAATTTACGATATAAGTTTCAGTTTTTCTCTGAATTATTGATTTCTCCGAGTTATGAGATTCCTGTAAAGGGGCATCTTTAGTTTACGATATTACTACACGGTGCTAAAAAGAGGGCGCTTCAACACAGCTTATAATATAATCTTTTACTGTGCACACGATATTTTCACTTATTAAAAACGCGTCCGTAATATATTATTAATTTATTATTAAAATTACATTAGAATAAATTTATTTTGCTTCATAAGGAAACGATATGCAGTTATTAAATATGAATACAATTCATAAAACCCACCTCCATTAACTTTATTAAGCATTTCAATACTAACATTAGCAAAATTTCTGTGATATCCGCCAACTTAGATTAACGATATTAGATTTTAGCTTGTTAAAAGCACTTAAAACTGTTACATTTTACATTTACTGAACAGAAGCAATTATAATTGTCTATAGACACCAACCAACCAACRAAATAATAAAACCGTTAGCGTAAGATATGTGTTCAATCTACGATATTTGTAAAATCAGTGTAATTTTGAATGTGCTGAAATAAAAACTTGAATGTGTGTGTATGTGTGCACTTATGTGGTGTTCTTGCCTGGGTATTCAATCATTTTTACATTTTGTTGTTGCGATGTTTACTTTATTTTCGTGTTTTTGATGTATTGTATGTACTAAGTATGTGCTGTAAATGTTTGTCGCTAACAGTTAAAACTTTATACTATACATACATATGTGYGCTCTCGTCAATTGCTATTCTTACGATAAACCCCATAAAAAAGCTTCAAATGTATTATTCGGGTTAATTTCCAAACGAATTAAGATTTCGAACTACTTAAGAAACTAGTTGTAAAAAATGGTAGATTTCAGATTTTTACCCGCAGTGCCTTTGGTGCAACGACCGCCTTTACGTCTTCGGCACATATCATACCTGTATTATGTATATATTTGAGTATAAGCGTATTGAATTTTTACGATAAACGAAATAAAGTGTAGAAAAGTAGTTAAACAGCAAGAAAAATAGCAAAAGAAGCTTTTAAGTGTTAAGAAATAGACATATTTTAAATGAAAATAAGAGAAAATAATTTGGAGTATTTGAAAAAATTATTGTAAAAATGTGGAGAAAAATCTCCACAGTATTAAGACAACAGCTGTCGACAAGTGCGCCAATTAAATGTTCACACCTGCCTTCTAGCGCAGCTGAGATTTGATTTTTTGATTTCAACTTTTATTTTTTGTACTCGTAATTTTATTTTTTTCATATTTTTTTGTAAAATTTCAAAGGCTTTTTAAATATTTTTTGTTTGTAAGTTTTTAAAGTTGTTTTAATATTTCTTTTGTAAATTTCAAAGTTTTTTCTTTTATATATATTTTTTTTTTGTTGTAAATTTTCTACGTGCTCTACTCACTTGGTTATCGCCACAGCAATATCGTAGACGGGCAAACGGCGCTCACGGAATAAATATTTACCCATATCGGTTAAGGCAGCCGCTGAATCGATGGCATCTCGTCCGACACGATTCCTTTCCAGGTATGGTGTTGCATCTCTTCCCTGTTGTCATCACCACATATATTTTCGTATAAATATGCGCAAAAGCCGTGATGAAGTCACATTTAGGTGCAAAAAATGTGAAAAAAGAAATTCAAAGAAAAACACGAAATTAAGATTATTGTGTAACGAAAAAATCAAAAAGAAAAATAAAAATAAAACGAAATAAACAAATGAAATAAATAACAATATAACGAATGAATGGCAACAATATGACCGGTGTTTACGTGTTTTAGATGCGAAATTGGTCGAGTGGCAGTATTTGAGTAGGAAGTCAGAAGTTGTCAACGAAATCAGGTGACATTTTTTTCGAAAAAAAATTAATACGAGAGAAAAAAGTAAAAAAAAACGAGTGCAGTAATGTTGCAAAAATTTTCTTCAAAATATGTTTTGTATTAATTTGGCTAAATTTGCAAGTTATGGGGACGGCAGTTGAGCACAATTATCGATAGCAAAACAATCAATATTTAAGTATTATAATATCAATTATACAAGTATATAAGTAAATCATGTCTACTTGAATTTCCTATTCAGTTGTCATAAGTAATATACTAAGGTRTTCCTAAGCACTTTTACAACGCCCATGGATCATTGCTGTCAATTTGGAATTACCATACGATTTCTGCAACACCACAAGTGTCAATCAAACTTTAAAATTAGCTTAAATAAATTACTAATCATGATATAAATCATATATAATAATAAATGCAGCTGTATTCACAATGTCAGTTAAATGTTTTACACACTAACAACAGTGTCTGCTGTTCTGCTAAATTCAATTTACTGATTTAGCGGACAACTATAATGTAAGCATGTAGATTGGGAATGATAAAATACATATTGCGGGCGTACGGTTAAAAGAAATATAAGAAAAGTACTAGAAATCGTTTAACTCACAAAGCAAAGCTGAACTACTATTTTTTTAATAATTTCACTTCATATTTTTCGTTTTCAACTTTGACCTTAATAGTCACAAGCAATTTCAATTTTTATTTTTTTTTCTTAGATATTTTTATTTACAAAAAAATAATGTTTACGGTTTACAGTTCAGTTTTTAAACTAATTTATTGTATAATTGATTAAATATTCTTCTTCTCCTATTTTTTCAGGAAAAGGCCAATAGTCTACGCCAATGAAAAGGACCGAACGATGATGACGACCGCTGCWAACGCATTACGGATTATGATTTCAAGGCATGCACATGGAATGTCCGGTCCCTTAATTGGGAAGGTGCTGTTATCCAGCTAGTTTATGTATGTCCTCGTAAGACTAACTATGGGGCGGTATTTCAAGCTTCAAGCGAAACTATTCTTTTTCGGAAAAGGTAAAAGAATAACTGGTAAGATGAGGAGTGCCTTGTAGCGGCGGAGAGAAACAGCCTGTCTGCCTCGCAACGTTACAGTCGACCACAACACGTGCCAAATGRGATATATATCGAGAGTTGAAGAGGGAAGCGAGAYGCACTTGTAGACAGGGGTAAAGTTAAAAAATTATACGAAAAGAAGTGGCGTCTAAAAAGCGGCTCAGAATGGATCTAGTGACAGATGTACTGAACATGRAAAATGATGGAGGGAACATTTCAGCAGCTTTCTGAATGGCAGTGAAAGCATAACACCAGGAGATGGATCGATGTATTGCCGGCCAAGCTATTCAAATACRGCAGGGAAGAACTGATAAGGAACATGCATCAGCTTCTTTGTAGACGATTGGAATTTAAGTGTGGCCCAATCGACAAAAAGGGAGACCTCTCAATCTGCRTCAACTACYTCCTCAACATCACATTTAAGGTTCCATCGAGAGTACTGTGAAAGACTAAAGCTCACAGTTAAAAAACTGATTGGACCTTATCAGTGTGGCTTTAGGCCTGGAAAATCAACAACTGACCAAATCCCAAACTCGGCTATAACTGCGTAAACGATGAAAAAATTTCGRTAAGAGTTGCCAATTGGGACTTAAGAAACTCATAGAAACTTTAACAGAAATCTCTTGTAACACGGTTGAATAACTAACGAGTCATTTAATTGATAGTTGGCAAGGTTCATTTAATATTCTTCATTTAACTTACAATAGTCACAATTCCGTCCCTACAACAGTCGGATCTATGCAATCGTAACGGACGCTGACCATTTGCTTTCAAGCCGGTAATACTTGAAAAAAGTTTTTAGCATAATGTTTTCTAAACTTACAACTCAACTACCACAAGTGTTGAAAAGTCCATTTAATGAGCTCAAAGTRACATAGATATACGAGTACTAAAGCCTACCTCGAATAGATTAAGTATTTCAAGAAAATAGCTATAAACGGAGGACCAGAAATTCTTTGAAGAAATAGATCTTTTTCACCATAACACTTCCTCTACTTGTTGATATTAGTTCATTAGGGAGATGAAAATCACAATTTTCAAGTTAGACAAGAATACATAGATGGTTACTTTGTTGATGGTTATAAAATTKAATGTGTTCATAGCTTACAAGAATCATAGTGTACAAGAATGAGRGCATTAGGTGCAGTTTGATTTCATTGCAATGCAAAGTGGAAAAGTGAAATTCAAAGTGACAAAATGTATAGGTGATTATATAAAAAACTGCACCTGTTACAGCTACCCTTTGCCCTTTTGAAATTACAACTACGCTACGAAAATGGTTAGCCAAAAGTAATAAATGTATATGAGAAAAAACTACGATCAAAACCTGTAATCAAAAGTGAAGAAGTCTCAAACACCATTTGCCACAACCATCAGCTGGAACACGTTTAACCTTTTCGTGCCAACAGTTAGACGCCAGCTAATAATGGATGCTACGTACGAAACTAACGGTAACTGATTGAAATAAAAACAAACAACAACAAGCAATAGCAACAACATTTGTTGTGCTTTGACAAGCCAAAACGATGCTATTGCCAGCACAACAGTTATACTAATGTGCACTTAGTTGAAAAAGTTGCATCCTCGAATGAAACGCTGTAAATATACAAATACACACGCACAAATATAATAACGAAACGTCCATTGCAATTTACTAACCTTTAAAATCCAATATTAGTGGTATTATGCAATGGAAATGTTAAGATTTCCAACGGTATGCCGAGGGAGGTGGCAACGAAATGTGGTTGGCATTCGCTTCGGCTATGCTAAGTATGTTGTTGYTGTTGGCGCTGTTGGCGCTGTCATTAAGCGCATACGTGTTGCGTCAGCGAYGTAGCAGACGGCATAACGATAAAGTGCTCGGTAAAGGAAAACAGCAAACAGCTATTGATCTGCTATTTTAAAGGTAAATAGTAAAGCTGAGCTTTGTTTATGGTGCCAAGCGGTAGCCGAAGATGCATGATCTACACGCGTGCGCATGTAACGGCCTTACAACGGACTGACAATACAATTGCAATTTACTACAAGTGCGGTTTATTTGCATATGCCAAGCAAACACAAAGCGGAAACCAATTTCCGTTGCAATGCTGCAGATGCGCAGCAGCCAATGAAGTAAATAGACACACAAAAACAAGACAAAAAATAAAAATTGACTGCAGCAGCTGTTGGCAACAGCTGATAGAGTTCGCGTTAGTGGCGAAGAAGCGCGATTCGTTTTACATTTTGCGCGTTTTTGCCAATTGGTAGTGCTGTCATTGGTGGTGATGCTTTCTGCTTGCTATGCAACCATGTATGTCAGTTAGACAGTACATAGTGGCAGCAACATTCGACAATGCACAAAGTCAAGACGAAAATAAAGTCAAAGTCGTTCAACGCGGTTGCTGTGCTTCCCATACATTCAAGATAAGTATTTGAATTAGTTCCAATMCACTTGATATTAAAATTTGAATGCAATTGCATTGCCGCTGAAGGTGAGCGCTGTACGTTGAAGCGTGTAAGTGTTGCAAGCGCGCTTGCGCAGAAGCTACAGCTGGAATGCTGCAGTTCTAAGTGCCTAAAAATTATTGTTTACATATTTGCGACCACTTAACAGTTGGCAAATGGTGCAAAGGCTTAAAGCGCTTACTACAAATCGTGAGTTGAGTGCASGCAATGTGTGCCAAATACGTCTATTTGACATCAAAATGTTGTAAAAATATGAAAAAGTTGAAAAATTTCAAGTTTCGTCTGTCACGCACAAAAACGATCGCTTGCTACGCTGCATTTCGATTAAAACACCGTAGATCGACGGCGTTCTGCTTCAGCTGTCAAATGAGCAGCGTCTGCTGTTGATTTTATATATATTCTCCAATATTTATGCATTTGTTCCAAACATTTTTCAACACATCTGCGTGCAGGCATTTATAATGTTTATTGTGCGATTCTGCCGAAAATTAATAACATTTCGTATATGTCCTTGATGCGATTTTTATAACCAAAATTCGATTATAATTCAATCATTGACAAGTGCATAAAGTTAACGAATTGTTGTTGGTATTGATTTGGGTTTCGCTGATTTGCCCATTAAAAGCATTCATTATTATATCTTAAAAGCAATGTGAGTGGAAATTTRCATGCAACACCGCAGAGTGAAAAGGGGCAATGCACCTATGTAAGTAACTTATATATTGAGGAAATCATTTGCACAGAGAATCCATGTTTATTTACATCCAATGACTCAACACGCTTTGGCACCATGCACATCACTAATAAGGCGGTAATGACCAAATTTATCGAATTTAAAAGTAATGAAGAGCTARTTACATTACTACGAAATAAAGTTTAGTTATTTAACATTTAATAATTCGCAAATCAAATACAGATTCGCGAATACTGATTGTGTGAAAATGCTTAAAACCGAAAAGTTATTTGGAAAAATGAAGAAGCATATATCTATAGACTTATTAATGAAATTTTGCTGTCCCTAATGTTGTATTTTAACTTGMGATAATTACTCTTCTTCTTCTCCTACTTTACTGGCGTAGACACCACTTACGCGGTTATAGCCGAGTCGTATCTTCTTTCGCAATGTGGCGCCAAYTGAAGATWGTAAGCCAGGCCCTTCTCTGCCTGGTATTTCCTCTTCTTCTGCTTCCTCYGG